CACTTAAAATTAATCCATCAGACTGGTCTGAACCAAATAGCGAAATTCTCTTTTAAACGCTCATAAATGACTGTATAAATTCACTAGTAATAAGGCTCGTTGCAGAAAGAAACACAACGAGCTCTAGAAAGAGGGCCTGGGAGAATGCTCTGGCCTGCAGCAGTCAGCCCCCCCCCCCCAAGCGCCATGGCTGGACCACTGCTACCGTGGGTGGCCCTCTCCTCCACCTCGGTGGCCCCCCTGGCCCTCTCTGACTTGCAGCCATTGTAAACAGCGAGAGGTGGGCAACAGAGCCGGCATGTGAGGCGGAGCCAGCTTGAGTGGCCAGAGCTGGGGTGGAGAGGTGAGTGGCTGGGATGGTGGGGGCGTGAGGGGGGAACCGGCCACTGCTCGCTGGGTCCTTGTTCCATGTATGGGGTGCGCAAGGGATGGAGGGGGCTGTGGGAGAGGACAGAACCGAGGACCCCACCCCCAACACTGCGCATGAGCCGGAGGGAAGTAGGCCCCAGACATCACCAGCCCCACGGAGAGTCCCGTCCGTCCCTTCCGTCAGCTCTGAGCACACTGAGCTGGAGACGCTGGCCGCCGCTTCTGTGGGCGGGACTCCGCAACCCAGGCAGCCAACGCAGCCAGCGCCTTCTGAGTGGCAGTTCAGGCAGCCAACTGATTTTGGTGCACATAGAACTTTGCCACTCGAAAATGGAATTATATATAAGGAGAGATGATTTCTTAGATTCATTTGGGTTTGCTGTGTAAAGCACTGAGGATTGCCCATCCTAATGGCCATAGCTGGGGGAAGGAGGAGTGGATGCTAAGATACTGGGAAATCCTGGAGTGTTCAGTATCAGGATGAAGGTGAGGGAAAGAGCAGAAGCAGTGTCTTGCTCCAGCTGTGGGACACATCTGTCTCTTTTTTGTCCGCCTTCAGCTGCCCTGGCTTCTGTCTTGGAAAGCTTATCTCAACAGTCACGGTCCCTGAAAATGTCAAAAATAAAACAGCTGGGATTCTGGAGAACCTGGATGGGTTAGTTGCCAGCGGCGTCCTGTTGTTCTTAGGCCAGTCCTGAACATGCAATAAGCTCTGTTTTGATTTGAGGTGAGGGTGGGAAGAGCAGTTGCATGCTGTTCCTGTTTGCAAGCTGCTATCCCCTGAATTCGATCTCCCGCTACCTTGCGCAGGTATCTGCTGGAGAACCACTGGTACCAGCAGTGGAAAGCATACGTGGAATCCGGAGACCAGAACTCCAGCTCTTACCCTGGTCGAATCAACAATGCCGAACTCTTTGAAGGTACGGTTTCTGCCACTTTACCAGAAGTTAGCCCTTGATTCTCTTGCCATCTCGTTTCGAGTGGGGTGTGTAGCAGCCCCGTACCTCGGAAATCTTTGTTGGGAGTGGCCAAGGGGGCAGTTTAGTACAGTGGAGCTGACTACATTACAGGGTTGTTGTTGTTGCTGGGGAAATGTAGAGGAGGAGAGCAACGGCCAGGTAAGAGCTGACAGGTAAAAACGGGGTGGGGAGCAGCACCTGGGGTACTTCGAAAATAATAAAGGAAGGTCCGGATTTGTGTCTGGGAGTTGCACTCTCTCCGAAGCGCGGTGCATCGCTCCGGAATCAGAGCCTGCCCTCCAGAAGATCCAAGATGTCTGGCAAGCGTTGCTGAAGGAGCTGGGAGAGCCCCTCGAGGCTCTGCAGGCACAACCTGGTTCCGTTGGCTGGGCAGCAGCAGCGGCAGGACAACACCCCCCCCCCCCGAGCAGCCCCTTAACCCCTGGTGCCAATGGGCTATTCTCCTCGCATTCCCTTCCTACACACACAGAGAGACCCCTGCTTTTGCGGGCAATCCGAGAGGAGAGCAAAGACAGGACCTTTGTCTTGCACCTCCCGAAGCACGCACCAGCTTGGCGCATGGGCCGAGACGTGCTTCCCCTCCCTTGGCAAGCCTGGCGGACACTTCACAGAGAAGGGGAAGGGGGAGAGACACAGCTGTTTGGGGAAGGTGCCAGGCTGTTCGGGGAGGGTGCTGGGCACTCACAGGCACCACCACGCATATGGGCCTGGTGTCCAGGTGGCTGGGAAGTGGCATTCCCCTTTCCCCCCCGCAGCAGTGAGTTCCGCTGATGAAGCGCCTGCTACCTGTTGTGCTGGAACTGGACACGCACTGCTTGTTGGAGAGTGACTTGCTTCCCTGGAAAAGGTGGTCCTCCCTGTGATATCAAACCCTCTTTCCTTCCTTCCTTTCAGATCTGGAGTCGTACCGGTTGAAGGACAGGCTGGTGGAATACGAGGAATACATTCTGGTGCCGGAGGAGGTGTGGGACAACCTGGTGAGCTGGTACGGCATTGAGCACGAGCAGCCACCCATTGAACGCAAGGTGAGGAGGGGTTTGCAGCTTAGTCCCTCGACAGGAGGAGGGATACGTTCCCCCCCCCC